CTGGCAGGTCAGTTTTCTGTGCTGCTGAGCTTTGCTATCCACACGTGGCCAGTTCCTGGCTGCCTGAGGCCAGATGACCCCAGTCCAGACCTGATCAGGCAGGAACCTGCCCTCCTCCCAGGAACCTAACCGCCTCTTTTCCAGGCCTGCTACAGATGGGGCAGGGAGTCTGAGTGGAGGGAGGGACTGGCACCGAGGATGCCCCCACCCTGGGCATCTGTTGGCCATAGAGGCCAGGGGCTTCTCCCAGGTCGCCTGGCAATCACTGTCACAGGGCCTCTTGCATGTACCGTCCGGAGCTCTCCCAGATCGTGGTGGGCACGTGGACCGCACTCTTTCCATTTGGCTGTGGGACCTCTAGCAAGTCATTCCCAAGGACTCCGTCTCCCCATCTGTGACGGGGGGTGACGAGAACCCACCACTTCCAAAGGCTGCTGTGTGGCCTCAGGTGCAAACCTACAGCCCTCCAGTGGGCACAGCCAGGCTCTGGGAGGTGTCCTGCCTGCTCGACATTGGGTGCTGCTCTTCCCCCCACTGTGACAGAAGGGGAACAAAGGCTCAGATAGGCGAAGCCACGGCTGGTGAGTGGAGGGCAGAATTTAAACCCAAGTCTGTCTGATGCTGAAGGCTGTTTGTTCCTTTAACGCCCAAGAGGCATGGCCTTGGGTAACTTGAAGTTGGCCAGGAGGGGCTGTGCCCAAGGGTGCCCGCAGGCTCCCCTTTCTCTGCCTTGAACCCTCACTGGGGGAAGACACCTCACCACCACCATCGGGAGCTTGGAACCAGGGGAGACCTGACCTACCCCAGAGAACCTGCCCAGAACGGGTAGACAGAGACTTGATCTGTAGGTGGGAGGCTGGATGGGGCTTCCTGAGGGAGGGGAGAGTGCCTGGTCTCCAGCCCATCTGCAGCAAGGTGACTCCATCCGCGGTCCCACTCTGCCCCCTTGTGGGAGGCAGGCACATATTCCCTGTTCAGGATACTAAATCCCCCTTGGGCTAGGTGGGACAGGCACCCCCCACAGAGGGAAAATCAGTGGCTGGGGCTGAGATGGTGTGTGCGATGACCCGAAGAATAGGCTGCACCTCTAAGCCTCTGCTGGAGCTGAACTCTCTTCCAACAGATAACTGCGCCTCAACCTGGCATTCATTGTATGCTGCCCAGGGCCCCTTTCCTTCACCCGGGAGATTTGAATCCCAGACTCCTGAAGGGAAGTGAACTTAAGTGCTGTGTATTCCAACCCTCCATCCCATATTTCAACCCCAACCCCAGTCATTCAGTGGCTACTTGCACACCTCTTGTATCAGAGAGCTCACTACCTTTGGGAGCAGCACATGGTTTGGAGGGAATTCTGATTGCAGAAATGACCCTTGTCCATGGAGCTGGCATTTACCTCCCTCAGTCATAGGTCTGCCCTCTGGAGACACACAGAATCAGGTGGCCCCTCACAGGAATTTCTAAGCAGATCCAAAGCCCAAAAGCCCAACCCAGTACACAGGGCCTTTCCACCCCCTCCCCCCCAAATTCCCCCCACAGTCTTCGCCCCTGGTTCTGATAACCATTCATAGTCCCTCTTATCTGAACACACGGGTAGTCCCTGTCTCACTGGACCTTAGGCACTGAGGGGACCCAGCACCCCTGAGGACTATCACTTTCCCCCATCCCGGCTCTCCCTTCTTGTTCCTGGGATCCTGTCCTCACTGTTAGCATCCACTTGTCACTAACCTTCTTTCCCTAAACCCTGTCCCCCTGAAGCCTTGTGGAGCAGAAGGAAGGATGGAACTAACAATGATTGAGCACCTACTATGTACTCAGCGCCATGTCTGGGGCTTTACTCGAATTATCCAAATTAGCCCTGAGAGGTAATTGCTATTTTTATCCCTTTGTTCCGCTGAGAACTGAGGCTTAGCCAGCAGGGCGCTGGGTCCAGTAGAAGAGCTGACTCTTATCTCTGTGAAATCCCTCCAGGCCAGCCAGTCTCCTGCTCCTGATTCTGTCATCTGCCTAGATTTATGAAATGTGCATATTTTAACTCCTCAAACATTTATCTGGTCCCCAACATACTCTCGGGACTGTGATAGACACTGCAAAAATAACCCCAGATGTCTCCAACACTGGCACTTTGCTGAGTAGACCTCACTGGATCCCACTTGGGTTGTGAATTGGTTTGTGGGTCTGGGCAAGGCCTGGACAAGACAATAACCGTGTAGGCTGCATGGTTTGGGCAGGTCACATCCAGCCACAACCAGCCTGAGTTTTGTCTTGTCCCCCAGGCTCACATATTTTTCTGCCTTATGCCCAAGGCATCTGAGAGGGGCCTGGTTGACTGATCTTCTGCTGAATCCAGTTAGTGGCTCTGCCCAAGGCTGGAGTATGGAGGAAGGTGAGTGGATTTGAGATGGGGCAAGAGACACTCACTCGTGGAGGGTGGGAGTGTGTCAACCCTGGAGGAAAGGTCAAGTTCCGTGACTTTTTTTGTGCCAGAGACTTCTTTGGCATCTGGTGAGATTTATTGACCTCTTCTCAAAATAATGTTTTTAAACATGTAAAATAGAACAGGATTACAAAAGATTTTCATGAGCAGGGGAAAGATGTCCAGAATTATGACTGAATGCATAAAATCAGGTTATAGAAGGTTTCATTTATGAAGAGAGAGAAAGAAAGAGAAGGAGGGAATAAAGGAGAAAGGAAGAAAGGAAAAAAGAAGGGAGGAAGGGAGGCAGGAAGAAAAGGAGAAAGAGGCCAGGCGTGGTGGTTCACACCTGTAATCCTAGCACTCTGGGAGGCTGAGGCGGGAGGATTGCTTGAGGTCAGGAGTTTGAGACCAACCTTAGCAAGAGCAAGACCCCCGTCTCTACTACAAGTTAATCAATCAATCAATAGAAAGGAGAAAGAAAGAAAACTATCCCTAGAAAGAATACTATCCCTATACACATGGCTACCCCTACCATCTATCCCACTTTGAAAAGCATGACAGGTCAGTGGTTCCAGGTCATGGCCCCCTTTGGACCCGCAATGTCCCCTCAAGTCTCAGCCAAAGCTCCTCATTTTTGTCACTGCCTTCCCCCTTGCCCGGCAGCCAGATTCCACCTGGGCCTATCCCTGCCACAGCCCCAGTGGTATTGCATGACTATCGTCCATCTCTGAATCAGTCTCCCCCACCAGACTGTGGCTTTCTGCTCACTGCTTTTTTTTGCCACTGCCATAATAGCTTGGCCAAACCAAGTCCTCAGCAGGTGTTACTGCTCACTTTTGGGGAGCCATGGGAGCCACTGCCCAGGTAGAGGGCCACATAGCTGGGCAGCCTGGTTCCTTCTAAGTTGTCACAGCGCCTTCTGTTAGCCCCTGCCCTGCTTGCCTCTTTCTCAAGGGTGCAGCAATCAGACCTGCTCCTTCTTGTCACAACCTCCAGTCCCACCTCTCCCACTCCCTGGAATGAGGCCCTGACTTGCCATCTGGCAGCATGCTGCCCTCACCTCCTATATATATAGTCCCTATCTCTGCCTACCAGGTTCTCCACCTCTGCTCAGCACTCCACAAGGACTTTGCTCTTGCAGAGACACCTTCTTCTCTGGCCAGGTCATCCATGAGCATATGAGCCTGCTCTTCATTCTCCCAACTCACACCTGCCAGATTTCTCTCACCTTCTCAGGGAGGGTGAGAGAATTCTCAGGAATGCTTTGGTAAGGAATTATCACATATCCTGCCTCCACACCCTCCTTTCTCCTTCATTCCACAAATCTCTGCAATATGGTTCTGTCACTCTGTGAACCTGCCTTGCCAGGGAACATTCATTCAGCAGGTGTTTATTAAGCTCCTGCTCTACACCAAGTGCTGTGTTAGGCAGTGGGAAAATGAAGGTGATCAAACCAGTCCCAAACTCATGGTGCTTGTGATAATGGACAAATACACAAGTAAATAGAGTCTGGGAAATTTCTATAAAGGAAGCAAACAGAATGAGAAAACATAGAGTAACTGGGGATGGGACAGAGGGTCTCTATTTTAGATAGTGCGGTCCAGGGAGGCCTCTACAAGAAAGAGCACAACATCCAAAGAGCAAGAACGGCAGTCCAGGGAGAGGGGATAGCAAGTGCAAAGGCACTGTGGCAGAAGCATGTATTTGTGCTTGGTGAGAAAAAAGAGGCCATGGGTTTGGAAAGAAGTAAATGACAAGGAGTGGTTGCCAGGGTCAGGGGAGGTAAAGAATTATCTTCAATGCAAGGGGATGCCCTTGCAGACTTTAAGGGGCAGGATCTAATTTGTATCTTAAATAGAGCCCTCAGGCCCCACTGCTGTGTGGAAAATGAACTTAAGGGGAAAAGGCAGAGAGGGCAACAGAGTTGTTAGGAGGGAACACTTTACTCAATTTGGATGTTCAATTGGCATTTCATACTTAATGCATCTTAAGAGAAACATCTAGATCATCACTCCCCCCCCCAC